CAACAGCTTCTGTAAACAATTTTGCTTCCGCTGGGTCATGTCCCCGCGAAACGCAAGCTTGAGTTTCGCTTCGGCCTCCGCATCTGGCGCATTCTCGTCGACATGAATCCCCATCATCTTCAGCAGTACAATTTGCGCCTGTCGAGTCACGTTCGGTGCGCGTGGTCGTGCTGCGATCCGTCCGCTCCGCCGCAAGGAATGGATCGAGACAGGCGTCCGGGAGCGGCGCAGCGTCGGTCCGCGGCGAACGAGCGGTGTCTGTAACGGGATACACACTTCGCCCTCCAACATCTCCTGGATCGACGGTTCATCAGACACCACGTTGCAAACGGCATCCGCCGGTCCCAGAGGAACTGCGTTAAGAGGAGGCTGTGCGGTAGGAGGAGTCGAGGATCCCTGCGGCGATGGCGAGGCCGGCACTTCCGGTGTGGGTGGGCTATCCGACGTCTGTGGAAGGACTAGGCGCACAGGAGAGACACCCGGCCGAGGAGCCAAAGCCAGCTCGTCCTCAGCGCATGCTGCCCACCAGTCTTCGCGTGGCGGCGTTGGCGGACACTGGACACTTATGCCCGCCAGCAGGAGGTGCGGGGCAATGTTGATGAAGCGGGCCACCATACCGGTGGCAGGGGAATTCCCGGCGTGCGCGACCGGGAGTGGCGTTGCGGGCACCGCAGCAGGCGAGGCGGGCAGCGCATCCCCGGTGGACCCGGGCGCCGGTTCCAACGTCAGCCGAGGCGGGGTGGGTGGTGGCGAATCCACCGGAGAGTGAACGACCAGCCCACGCGAAGGTGCAGCATCAGCATGCCCAAGAGGCTGGGCTGCAAGGGGGCACGACACGGCACCGATCAGGACAGACGTTGCCGGGGCAGCGCCGCGACCGCAGCAAGCCCCAGGGTGGTAGTGGTTGTAGTTGCTGTCACCGGAGTCGTCGTCGACTTCAGAGTTCCTGCGGGGTGTTGGCCAATCCTCGACATAGCGGTCATTGGCGTCAGCATTATGAATTTATGATCGCCGTTACCCCCGTCGTCACTACCACCCCCATTTAGAAAGTTTGTAAGCAGATACCGACAAAAACTGTTCTAATGACTGTCATCACTCACATCAGCAAGCTGATGTCGTCCGGAGGAACGAATAGACGATCTATGGAAGATAAATAATGACGAATGCCGAAGTCTGGTCGGAATACATCCCTTGTGCCGCGCAAGGTGCTGAGAACCTGCCCGTAATAGACTTTTGCTTAACGTAATCAATATATTGCAAATGACCAAGGTTCACTGGTCTTCTCTAACCCTATACCAAGTATTATATTTTTGTCCTTGCGCAATAGGCAACTTATTCGAGCTGGCGTAGGTGGTAAGAGCATTTTCAGGAATTAGGAATCATAAATTTGATCTATATTCCTCATTTTCGGCAGTGATAGAGCATCAATGAAGGCGACCTTCTTAAGGCCCTGTTTAGATCCCTTGGGCTCACAACTAGTTGCTAAACTTCAGTCCTGAGGATGAGCTAAAGTTTAGCCAAAGCTCAAAATGGTTATTAGCTCACTAGCCCATAGAACCCAACTATCACGGGCTAAAGTTAGAGCAGTGCGTAAAAAAGTCGCCCGTACCCCCCAACCCTATCCTCCCGCATGCCCTGTCTCCACCCTCCCGTAGCCGCCAAACTTTGCGAGGAAAAAACGCACGCACGCGACCGCGCTTGACCTCCTCCTTCTTCTCTCCTTGGAGAAAGACGACGGCTTCGTTTTGTTGGCCGGTACGGGGGCGGGGGCCTCGATAGGCTTGGTCTCCGGCGGTGGCGCCGCGGTGGAGACCTCAGGCACGGGCGCGGGTGGCGCGGCCATGGGTGCCTTGGCGGTAGGAGGTGTCTCCGCAAGGAGATTGGCGACAGGCACAGGCGTGGCTGGGGCGGGGCGACGGCCTTGGTCCAGGGCACAGCCGCGGGAGCCGGGGTGGCGGGGGTGGGTGGAGTGGCGGCCAACACTGCTGATGGGTTGGCCTAGCTTGGAGGAGGACTTGGGCGTGGGCGTGGCCAGGGTGGAGGATGGCATGGCGGCTGGCGTGGACGCGGATGCGTCGGCCGGCGAGGAGGACATGGCAGCCGGCGCCCCGTGTGGCCTTGGAGGAGGACTTGCGTGGCACTTTGGCTGGCGTAGACGCGAGGGACTGCGCGAGGTTGTTGATCGTTCATGCCAAGGCCAAGAGCCAGACGCGTGGCTACAGATCAGTCACATCAGCGTTCTAGAGCTGCTCCCTGTTTGCGAGGCTGCAGATCGGCTGCTGGACGCGCGTCGCCATGGCAGACATCATGCAGCACGAGACCGTTGAAGTAAAGATAGGTTGAAAGATATGTTAGCCCCATGATCTTATTATTGTATTACGGCCTGCATGATTCTGCCTCATGCCCCACTGATATTAGTAATGAGTTAGGGTCATCGAGTCTATCGTTATTTTTACGGCCTGCATGATTCTGCCTCATGCCCCACTGGTCATAGCGATAGATGAGATCTAACATATCCATTAGATTTATCTTTATTAAATGGTTAAATGGTGTTGAATTATTTCTTTATATAAAAAGGGTTCGGTTACTTGTAATCATTGGCTCAGCACAAACCGATCATTGTTGACATCTTATTGCCATTGATTAATATTTATTTAAATAATGATATTTATCCTGAATGATAACCGATTCTTCTTATACAACCCAATGAACTTTAATCGATTTATTCTCATGAATATGCTGGAATCGACTATTTAGTCGATCTCCTTTCATATCGGTTCTCATAGCCGCACATTTGGGACTGTCTGGCAACACCGGCAAGTTCCGCCCTTAATTACTGATGAACTTTCTCTTCTTGTCAATTACAGGGTTAAATTGACTGGCACGTCTCGGGAGGAGTGTGCAGGATCGACCACCCGTGCGCTGAAGCTAGACAGATCTACAGCTCCATCGAGCATACTCTTCCGGCTTACTGCGTGTGTCCTCGGCACGAGACGAAAATTCTATGTCGACGGTTGGAAATATATGGCGACGCTGTCTCCCTCACATATAATGTCTGCAGTGGAGGAAAAAACGGGAAATGCAAATTGATGCAAGCTGGTCAGGATGTATCACATACGTAGGGCAATGGTATATTTGTTAGGCCGTTGCCACCCAAAGGCCCACGAAATACAATGTTGCATACAACAGCATATTGTAACACAACACACTAGTCTATAACAACGAAAAATAACCTGTGGCAATAGCAACATGCTATTGCATCGCTTTAGATATTTAGTTGAAACAAACCGCTACCTTTTGTCATAGTCGTGAGAAATATTACAACCAACTAATACTGTGGCAATACAAACAAACTATTCCATTGCCTTGGATATTTAGTTGTAGTACACAACCTACCTTTTGCAATGGTCGTGAGAAATATTATAACCCAACACAACTGTGGCAATAATTTCACGCAATAGCATCACTGTTCTGCATGGTTGCAAGAGCAACAGACAGTTGCAACACTAGTCAATACTAATGCAACATAATGTCATCATGGCAATATTTTGAATCTATAGCAACACTTTTTACAAAATGGTTGCTATAGGTCTCACTTCTTACAACGGCAAAGGTAAATATTACAATGCACTATTTTTGTGGCAACATAGTCACTCTGTTGCCACCTTTTTGGACAAATGTTGTAGTACACCCCCTATTACAACACAATGTGTGGTGTTGGAATGGCGTCACGTGTGGCAATGGTATGGAAATCTAGTACTCGAGTGAATCTCAAGCTCACAACACCTAAATGTGCAAATGACCAATTTAGTTGTTCATCACTTAGAAAATGGTTCCAACAAACTTTTATAGGAGTAGATGCAATGTAGCTAAATTCACCTAGTTAGATACGCTCTATTGAACCCTAGAAACACCTCACAAACACAATTTGCACATGCACAAACCATAGGATGAGATCCATTTTCGAAGTCTCAATGTTTGTTTACTTTTGTAAGCAAGCTTTGATTCCTCGAAGTTGATCCAATGCCTTGTCACATTGTTTGTTTACCTTTGTAATGGTATAATCCATGCTTAGCTTGCTTAGATGGTAGAAGTCAAGGCCATGATGGGTTTCTCATGAAGAAGCTACCCTGTGTAAAAGTCGTGTATTTAAAAACTTTGCGGGAAGGTGATTAGAGGAGTTTATCTAGGGAGACTAATGTAGAGTGTTTTTTATTGCTATAAAATCTTAAATTTGACTATAGGAGGTCGAATTGGCCAACTTACTTTGGAATGCATGTGTATGTATGTGGCTCCATATAGCCAACTTTGTGTAGCTGTTGAAAATAGATTGTCACAACATATGCAAACATTTTATATGTGGATATATAAATTGTGACTTGCAAGATACTCCCTTCATCTCTTTTTAACCGGCGCTCTTATTTCCTAAGAAGTCAAATGTAGTTAGCTTTGAGTATATATATAAGAAAATATTAATATTTATGATACATAATTAGTATTATTATAAATAGTTAAACTTATTTTTATAATATAAACTTACTTGAAAATATAAACATTGTTAATTTTTCGATAAACCTAGTCAATTTTTAAAAATTAAATAAAGAGGTGGTAACAAACAATATCATCATATATAATGGTGTGGGAGGAAGAGATGGTGTTTGGGCATCCTGCACGGGAGGAACGTGCAACGATTCGGGCTTTAAATGGGAGGCCGGGTGCTAGGATTTGGCTGGGAGAAGCTGCCCCTGTGTAAATAAAATCGTGTGAACTTCAATTACGACTTGCAAGATACCAAACAATAATATATGCATACACAACATCGATGGAGAAAACGCACAACACAAGGTCGATGGTGTGAAAGCATGCGATACCGAGGCCAAGACCCCGCCGTACACTTTGCCTATATATAAACAAGCGAGGACACTGCACTGGATACACCGCTGAGCCACAAGCCCATAACACATTTACACAAGCTAGCTTAACTGCTGAAACAAACAGACATGATGAATGCCCACGCCCGCCTAGTTGTGGCCTCCTCGGCTTTCACCCATGCCCTCCCGCCAAACCCTAAACTCTCCAGCAGCATCCGATCACGATGCACCCCACGCCGCCCATCGCTTCCGATGCCATCACTTCGACAACTCCCGACGACTCTCCAAGCAACCAAGACGCTGCACCCAACGACGACGCCCGTCGTCACCGCGGACCGCGCTGCCGGCAGCTTCGCCGGCACCGACCGCTTCCATGTGATCGACTTCCACCACGTCGAGTTCTGGTGCGCCGACGCCACATCCGCTGCCGGCGGCTTCTCCTTCGCGCTTGGGGTGCCACTGGCTGCGCACTCCGATCTCACCACGGGGAACACCGCACACGCCTCCCACCTGCTGCGCTCGCGCTCCGGTCCTCTCGCGTTCCCCTTCACCGCCCCGTACGCGCGGCACATCAGCGCCGACGACGACGCTGACGCGACGGCCGCCGCGTCCAACTGCTCCCCCGTGGTGCCCTCCTTCTCGGCCGACGCCGCGCGTCGCTTCGCCGCCAACTACGGCCTCGCGGTGCGCGCCGTTGCGGTCCGTGTCTCCGACGCCGCCGAGGCGTTCCGCGCCAGCGTCGCCGCGGGTGCGCGCCCGGCCTTCTCCCCAGCCGAGCTCGGCCGCGGCTTCGTGTTCGCGGAGGTCGAGCTCTACGGAGACGCCGTCCTCCGTTTCGTGAGCTACCCGGCCGACACGGACGTAGCCTTCCTGCCCGGGTTCGAGAGCGTCGTGAGCTCATCAGAGTGTCCGGACTACGGACTCAACCGGTTCGACCATATCGTCGGCGGCGTGCCAGACCTGGCACCGGTCGCCGCGTACATCGCCGGGTTCACGGGCTTCCACGAATTCGACAGGGTCAACGGGGACGAAATAGGCACGGCCGAGAGCTCGCTCAACGGCCTGGTGCTCGCCAACAGCTCGGAGAACGTGCTCCTCACGCTCCTGGGGCCGGTGCAGGGCACCAAGCGCCGGAGCCAGATACAGACGTTCCTGGACCACCATGGCGGGCCAGGCGTGCAGCACCTGGCGATGACCAGCGACTACCTTCTCGGCGCGCTGGGAGATACGTGCGCGGTCCTCCATAGGCGGCTTCGAGCTCCTGCCACCGCCGCCTCCCAGCTACTATGACGGTGTAAGGCGGCTCGCCGGGGAGTCGACGTGCTGTCCGAGGCACAAATTAACGAGTGCCAAGAGCTCGGCGTGCGGGTGGACAGGGCTGACAGTGGCGGAGTTGTGCTTCAAACCTTCACCAAGGCTGCTGGAGACAGGTAATAATCGCGTCCTTTGCATGCATGTTTTTGTTGATATGTTGTCGGATTCAACTTAATCCCCATGTGTGTTGGGATGAAATTTAGTTCAAGTTTCACACCAATTCACCCCAACACATATGTAAATTGACGTCAATCCGACTACATTTAAACAAGGCCTAAATCTTCGACTAATTGCATCCAGGTTCCCCTATAAAACAACCTAGTACAGTACAAAAGAATCTATCCTTTATTATTTGTCTTAAAAAAAGCTATAACAATGAAACGTGTTATATATGCATGTTGACTTAAATATTCAACTAATTACATCCGTATTCTCTATTCTGGTACTACAAAAACCTAAGGTACTACTCTTTCATTCTAAATTATAAGTGTTCTGAGTTTTTAAAATACATAATTAATTTTATTTAAATACCTAGACATAGTCTATATTTAAATGTATAACAAAAATAATATACCTAGAAAACCTAGAACGATTTATAATTCGAAATGGAGGTAGTACTGTCCTTTTTTATTTTTTCTTAAAAAAAGATAACAATAAAACTTGTTATATATGCAGGCCAACCTTGCTCTTGGAGTTTATCCAGAGGATCGGGTGCGTGGAGATAGATGAGAACGGGAAGGAGTACCAGAGGGGTGGCTGCGGCGGCTTTGCCAAGGATAACGTCATTCATCTCGTGAAATCTATTGAGGACTATGACAAGACCCTTGATGCTCCTGTCCGTGTGGCTTCCTAAACAACACTATATTGTCATCTCTCTGCTTAACATGGGAGTTACGAGTATACTACTTAGAAGCTCAGTAACGATGAAATGACGAAATAATGCGCTTAAGTAGTACATGGTAAATGGGGTATGGTATCATATAACATATGGTAAATGCCTTTTTTTTTTCTCTGTTTGGGTACTGTATTATTGTGTTACTACAATGGTATTGTACTCGATCTGTGTTCCAAAATACTGTAATTATATAATAGTACCAAGTCGGTATTGCCATCTGTCGGTGCAGAAAGTGACTAACACGTAAATATTTGTAGTTTTGCCGTACGTTGTGATCGGATGTGACCTAGCACTCAATGACACAGGGTTTATACTGGTTCAGGCAACGTGACTTACGTCCAGCTTGAGTTGGTCGGTGACTTTATTCCTGAGCCCAGGTGCTCGAAGTTTGCAGTGGGGTTACAAACGAAAAGGAGAAAGATGGGGGTACAAGAGGTCCGGTCGGACCCTGGTCAGAGGGGCCGAGAGTGACCGGAGCTCCGCTATGTGCTATTGATGGCGGGGAAACGGGTGGCTATGACCCGCCTTCGCAGAGACAAATTTGGTTTTGGTTTAATTTCATTAGGACAAAAGTAAAAGTACAAGTATTGCGAGTCCATACTTCCATAATTCTTATATTTGCATAAAAATTATGTTAATTACATCTCTGAAGAGAACACCCCTGATTAAGGATTCCAACATGAGTACATGAAAAAAAAGATTACATCATATGCCTTCCTATTAGAAACTATAAAAGAAAATAAAGTCTTCAGTCTTGTAGTTGCGGATGGATGCATGTGTATATTTTGCACTCGGCCATGACCATTTCTTGAATGATGTATAGTGCATTGTATCTTGTATGCACATAATTTATCTCGTAGACTAAACTTGACATAGTCTCGTTATATCGTGCAAGATCATGGACTGATATATATATATATATGATGCATTCATCATGTGGTGAAATATTTTATTTCAGTTAAGGCCGCCCCGGATTGGCCGTGGTTGATTTATTTTATCAAGAGAAGGTGCAAGTGCTCATGACATCATATTTTGGCCATGGATTAGCATATATGATGCTATTCAAGTTGATTTAATTAATGGCTTAGCTAGAAATGATCTTTTATGGATACAGTCTAAGTAATGCAGGATTTAAATTACTTGTGACATGCAAGGACCTAAAATGGCCCACTATGTGGATTTTAGTTATTTTAAACATGACGCTGGCTGCGTGATCTTTCATAGATGCAGTCTGCTTTGTGGTAGGATTATTTAATAATCCCTCCTATTGCCACTAATGACGTGCATGGCATGAACTGACATGATGCCCAGACGCGTGGAACAACGTTATCTTATTTTACTAATTTTGATTAGGGACCATGAATTTGATGAAATCCCTTCTTAGCATGATGCCGTAGATGAAAGCACCATGTGCTGACTTTGACGCACCATTATTTTGACGTTTTTTTTTGTTTATCTTGTGCATGTGGTTTGGTCATGTCGCTGTTCATGCAAGACGTACCGGGCATGCAGGCCGGTTTGCATTTCGGTGCGGCAGATAAAGGAGGCAAGTTAAAGATCTATGGAGCGCTAATTTAATTAGCAACTATGTATTTGATGCAAACATATGCTAGCTAACTAATACCTATGGTATGTTCTGGATGCATGGATGGCATGACTGAACATATGCATCACTTTTCTTTTAGACATAATTTCATCTGGTTTTATGATTATTTCTTTGGTTTGATAGTAGCCCACGCATATATATTTCTTCATAGCAGTAGCATGCCCTTTTTTAATTTGCGGAGCATGAACTGGCCGGCGTTGCCGTGGGCCGTGGCCAAAACACATGCAGATACGGAGACGATTCGCGTCCATATCAAATTTACCATGACCCAGGTGGAGCGCGTCCACCAATTTTATGCCATGAACCTTTAACCGGGTTGGAGCCAAGATCGCGTCCAACCAAATTTCACCGAGTCATGTTTATTGGCCCTTCACACCTTTACTGGGGCATATCGCCCGTGCGCAAAGCGCGGTCGTGGCATTGTTGGCCGACTTTTCACCGGGGCTTGCAGCCCATGCGCATAGCGCGGCGATTTGGCCCTTATACCTTTACCAAGGCACGATGCCCATGTGCGGAGCACCGTCCTCACTGGCCCTGTTTATACCAGAATAGAAGGACGCAAGGCTCGCTGACGGAGTTGCCGATGACGACGCTTGTGGATGAAGCGGCCGGAGATGAGAAGCAGGATGGGAGGGGCTAGGATCAGAGAAGCGCCATGCGGCCTCACCTTCTTCAGGACCTCGGACAAAGCAGCAACGCTTGTGTAGAAGAGCAACGCAACAGCCTAGCGGTGCTTGCTTCTCTGATCAAGGAACAGGTGTGTATGTGCATGTGTACACTACTAGAGAACAGACTTTAGAACGATGTCCCAATTTGGCTTTACCCTCGGCATTTTTTGCCGCCAGGACTAAATGACCCTTTAGTCCCGGTTTGTAATACCAACCGGGACTAAAGGTCCCTGCCCAACGGTCGTCCGCGTGGCAGGGATCTTTAGTCCCGCTTTGGGTGATACCCCGGGAATAAATATTAATCTTTAGTCCCGGTTTGGCCACCTAACCGGGACTAATTATGCCGGCCTATACACTCATTTCTTTCTCCCCGAGCCCGAGCCATTCCATTTAAACTCACTGCCTCTGTTCTTCAGCTTGCTGTTGGTCTTGCTCTCTCCCCCTCCATTGGTGTTGCTCTTCCATTTTGGAGGTAACAAACTTAATCCTCTTATGTTTTATCAGTAGCTTATCTCATTTTGCGATGTAGATGCATGTGTAACTTTATATGTTGGACTTTATTATGATTTTGCGATGATGATTTGCATATATGTTTGGATAAACAAAAGTTAAATTAGTTCATCAAAATCACGCCTCGCTTCGTCTCTCATTTGGAGCACGCGCCATCCTCGTCCCCCCGCGGCTTACGTGATCTTAGAATTAATTTTTCCATGAAATGAAAAACTTAGAAAATAGTTAGAAAATTATAGAAAATCCGTACTAGTTGAACTTGTGGACCGTGATCATCTCGGCGAGCATGTTCTCTGCCGAGCGGTTTAGTTAGATAAATAAATAATTTTAGTTTTGTTTAAATATATTATTTTAGAAAATGTGAAATTTGCAGTAGTTTGCAAAAATAAGTATAGAAAGTAGATGACAACAATCGGTACGGATCCTCGGCCCTCGCTCGGTTCTTGTAAACGATCGAGGCAGAACTCCCTCTCATTATCTGCGGCAAGTGTAAGCGAAGATTGTGATGGAGTACCGAGTCAAGAGACAGGGACCCAACAAGGGTCGTGTTTTCTACAAGTGCCCGGATCGCGATGTGAGTTTCTTACGCATTTGATTATTATGGCTAATTGACTGCTTTTCTTGAATATTTTTGACTAAATATTTTTGGCTTTAATTTCAAAGTGGGAGGGCAATGGATCGATGGTTGGTACTTGGAGGAGGAAGATTATGCTACATATGCAGAATTAATTCGTGCTACCGATGAGGCAAATGAGCCAAAGGAGAAGCTTATTGATATTCAACGGAAGAATAATTTGTCTATTTTTAGTTGCGCACGATCACGAAATAATTATGTTATTGAAGTGCATTGTAGTTTTAGTTTGTTTAGTGATAGTTGGGATTGCTTACGTTGTAGCCGAGCTTAGTTAATTAATCAACCGTGTGTGTGTCATCTATGTTGTGTAATAAAATACTTAATTATGTTCAAGGTTTTCATAATTTGTCGGTAATACTGATTATGTCACGCCATTGGATGTACAATGCCGATCGCCGCTCCCAAGACTTTATTGAGGGCTTGCACTATTTCTTAGGTGTGGCCGAGGCAAATAAGCGGGATGGTTTCATGTCTTTGTCCATGTGCCCTATGTAAGAATTTAAAGGAATATTCAAGCTCAATGAGTCTTCATTCACATTTGCTTAAGTCAGGTTTCATGTCAAACTATATATGTTGGAGTAAGCATGGAGAAAGCGGGGTCATGATGGAAGAAGGTGAAGGAGAAGATTTAGACATTGATGACATTATTGCTCAAGATATGGTGCCTTTGATGATACTACAATGGGGGGAGATGAAGAAGAGGTAGCGGTAGAAGATGATCTCGGTGATGCTCTTGGCGATGCCTTTCGTGATGCACAACAAGAATGCGAAAGTGAAAAAGAGAAAGTTAAGTTCGAGCGCATGCTTGAGGATCATAGGAAGTTGCTATACCCGACGGCCGAAGAGGGGCAAAAAAAACTAGGTACAACACTGGAATTGCTACAGTAGAAGGCAAAGAATGGTGTATCCGACAAAGCATTTGGGAATTTATTGAACCTCATAAAGAAGATGCTTCCAAAGCCAAATGAATTGCCCACCACTACGTCGACGAAGCAAAAAGGTTATCCGCCTTTGGGATTAAAATCCGGAAGATACATGCATGTCCTAATGATCGCATCCTCTACCATGGCAATGAATACGAGAATTTGGATGAATGCCGGTATGTAAAGCATCGCGGTATAAGATCGGGCGCGATGATCCCGGTGACGCCGAGGGTGAACAACGTCCTAGAAAGAAAATCCTCGCCAAGGTTATGTGGTATGCTCCTATAATACCACGCTTAAAACGCGTTGTTCGTAAATAAAGACCATGCAAAGTTGTTTGCGGTGGTATAAAGAAGACCGTAAGATAGACAATATGCTGAGACACCCAGCTGATGGGTCCCAGTGGAGAGCAATAGACAGAGAATTTCCAGAGTTTGCAAATGAGGCTAGAAACTTAAGGTTCGCCTTAAGTACAGATGGTATGAATCCTTTTGGAGAGCAGAGCACTAGTCATAGCACTTGGCCAGTTACTCCATTTATCTACAACCTTCCTCCATGGTTATGCATGAAGCGGAAGTTCATTATGATGCCGATCCTCATCCAAGGTCCGAGGCAAC